GGTGGGTTTGGGAGCTGCAGAGCACCCTGCCCGCAGCGCCTAGCCCCGCAGCGGCCCCCTTGGTGCTTTTCCCCTTGGAAAAGGAGGAAAACCAAGACCAAGGAGGTCTTGCCAGCGGGAGGAGCAGGGAAGCAGGGTACACACCGGTCGCTTGACAGACACCTCTCTGTTCGCTGCAGGGGCTGAGTGAATATAAGAGAAACTTCATCTGGAAAACCCCAGAGTTTTGTAGCCCGTCCCAGCAGCAGAAATCCTTGTGGGCAGGACTGCGGTCGGATCAGTTTGGTAAGCATCTCTGAACGGTACCCCCGTGATTGCACACCCCAGCTCTCTCCAAGCCAGCTCGGGTGAGGATGAGCCCGGCCTGCAGGAGCTCTGGAGAGGTTTGCTGAGGTTTGCACAGCCACAGTGAACCGGTAGTGTTTGCAGTTTGTACACTCGATAACAATTAAAGTATGTTTGTGGTCATCTAGAATATGTTTTTAATGCCGTGTTCTCTTTGGCTACAATGAAACTTTCTTTTAATGTTAGAGCCTTTTATATAAAACATGAAAAACAAGTGGTTTCTGACATGAGTCCCAAACATGAAGCACAGATGCAGTGTTAATCCGTACAGGGTGTGTAAATGGAGGCATTGGGTTACCTGTGGTGCATGGAAACTAAGTAAAATTCTGTATTAAAGAGGAGAGTAATTTAGGGCAAAGTTTGATACAAAGTGAAATTGTTATGATGACCTACAGGGGCAGCTAACCGGGGAAAAAAAAAGAAAAAGATGGTCATTAAATGGAAAAGCTTGTGGTCAGTCATAGAATGGTTTGGGTTGGAAAGGGACCTTAAAGACCATCTAGTTCCAACCCCGCTGCCATGGGCAGGGACACCTTCCACTAGACCAGATCGCTCAAACCCCCCTACAACCCAGCCCTGATGCTGTAGTGTTGGAGTTGGGGGTTGTAGACATTATCAAGGCAGGAAAATGTGGGATTGGAAAGTAGGAAGTAAAGGAAACAGCGTCTGGATTGAAAGGCCCATAGAGAGTTGAGGAAAAGAAGTAAGCTGCAGAGTGATGGCAAGTACAGTACTTTGAAAAGAAGCAATAAAAAATGGGAATTACTGTAGTGGCACAAGACAGATTAACAAAAATGTGCAATTCAGCACAACCAGGCTATGCAGTCTGTGTAACCAGAGTCCAGTATATTCATTCTGTCGTGGTTTGGGATGGGCTGGCCACTAAAACAAATGACGGATGCTCTCCCCAACCTCTCCCTTCAGGGAGAGAGGGATGAGAGAGAAAGAGACTTACGAGTTGAAAAGAAATGAAACAACTTTAATGAAATATTAATAAGAAAATAATGAAATACATACAGTAGATACAAAACCAATACCGAGCTCCCGGGATTATGATCATGTCTCTGGCAGCCGCTGGGAAAGTCCCTGGCTGGACTCGGCGACAGACGGGAGCTGAACTCAGGAACTGAATTCAGGAACACACGGATCAGGATCAAAGGCAGACAAACAGAGTCCTCCTCAGACACCATCCATTGAAGAAAGAGAGCTGACCCTTTGATCCTTCGGCTTTTGTACTAAGCGTGATGCAGATGGGATGGAATACCCAGTTTTGGGTCACCTGTCCTGTCTTCTCCTCCCCACAGGTGTGACCTCTCTATGCATACAACAAAGTGAGCTGACATTGGTTGTTATAACAATAAGTACGAGTAGGAGCCTCTCTGTGTACCATTCCTTTGTATTAATTATAAACATAGGTCTTTACAATTCTAGAAACTGATACTGTCTGAAAAATATGCCCTTAATTTCCGAGAGTTCAGCTAGTTAGAGGAGGTTTAGCTGAAGAGTAAAATTACTGAACAGAAAATTGGTTGTATATTACCTAAAACCGAGACACGTTCATACAGTATGGTAAGTGTTCTAAATTATGGCCTAGTAATTAGGAAGCTGGGAGTATGGTTTGTTTTCAGTTGAGATACTAGACATTTTAATAAATAATTTAGTCTTGCCAAAGATTATGCTTTATATATGGTACTGTTTTCTTCCATTACTGCAAAAAATACATATTTCTTTAACCTTGCTTTCCCTAGCCCATGGCTCTGTTTATGGGCATCTGTATTGAAGAGAATAACTTCCACAAATTCTGAAACACCAGAACATCCGAACACATTAACATTTTTTAAAAATTGTAATCTATGCTTCTTTTCCAGTCAGACTAAACTGTAAATATTCCAAGACTTGCAATAAAGTAATGAGGCAGTAAGGCAGAAGTTTTTCTTCCTCCTTATGTTGTAGTGGTGTTTTTGTATGTTCTTGGTGTATTTTTCCTACACCTTTCATTTTCACTCCCACCTTTTTTCTGGCCATTTAACCATGTGCATCTTCAAATGTCCCTCTTGACACCTCATAGGACTTGTAAATTGTTTTTGATAATTAACTTATGGTTCTTCCTGTTGAAACACAGTTTCAAGTTTCAAGAATGACTTGGAACACCACCACAAAAAGTTAACAGCTACAGGTGCTCTGAGTTCCTTCCTGCTCCTTTTCCAGTGTTTTTCCACAGGAGTTATTTCCTACCACCTGTAGGTGTATTTGGACATCCAGATATTTTGTATACCTTTACTGTAGATTGTTCCCTCTTTCTACGTTGCTTTTCATGAGATGGGAGTTTCTCTCTCTCCTAGAAAGTGTTTCTTTCAGATGGTTAGGAGCCTTCACTCATTTGTCCATTGCAGGTGAGCACTTTGCAGTTGAATTATGATTTCCCGCTTTAAATGTGTTCAGTCATTGAATCTTCTTCTTAAAATGGTGGGGTAATTTTATTTTCAACTACATGTATAGGTAATCAATTCTTTAAAATAACTTGATACCTGGTTTTGTTACGTAGTCTTTTTACAATTTTGGAAATGTTTTTGTGTGTGTACTGTAAAAAGTTAGCAGCTGTCTGAGATGGTTTTAAATCTCAGTTGTATTAGATGAATAGGGATCTGTCCTGTCACAGTTGGTGAGAACTTGTTCAGCAAGGTATGTTGTGCAGGTGTAATAAGAAGTGTTTGTGGTGTACTTTATCACTACAGGTTGGTTATTCTTTATCTCTGTTAACCACATTCTTTTCACTGGATATGTTAATTTTGTTGTTGATCTCAGAGAATCAATTTGCAAAATTTTGTCCTGTGGCCATATATACCAAACCATTTATAGGTTTTTAGCCAACATGGTCCTGAACCAGCATGTTTCCATCTATCTTTAGTGGAAAAGAAAGACCTTCACAGACAGGAAAGACAGAATTTCACAGTCAAGCCCATAATTGATAGGCTGTCATTGCTCAGATACTAAAATAGTTTTTTCTAATAATCAATTATATGGTAAACTTTCAGTTTATTCTTGTAAGGAGCGATATTATGTCTTCAGTAGAATGTTTTTGTTAAAACTCATTTCTCTTTTTCAGGAATCACAAGAGAACCAAAATTCATTTCCAAGAGAAGGGTACCTTACCATGATCCACAGATTTCAAAGTCCTTTGAGTGGACGGCAGATTGTGATTTGAATGATCCACTTGAAACTGAAGCTCTTAGGACTGCAGAGTTGCACACAGACCACAACAACAATGATGTGAATCAGGAAAAAATTGAAACCTCAGAAGGACCCAGGGTCCCCCCAAAAGTTCAGTCACATTTTGTAGATTCTAGAGGTGAAACAGCTCTTGCTCTTGCAGAAAACAACATGAAGAGATCACCCTCTGCAGCTCTACCAAGTCAAAATGAAGCATTTTCATCTCCAAAAAAGGAGTTAGAAAAAATGGATAATGGGGTAAGGGAAGATTTTTTTTTAATTGACCAGTATAAAAATTACTGATCTGATACTTAGAGGAATTTAATTAGACAGCCTCTGATGTCTGATTCTCTCCTAAGTTCTGTATTTTGATATTCTATGTTGTAGCTTCTCTGTTGGGAGAACAGTACTTTTGAGACCAGATTTTGATTCCACTTAGGTGAACAGGGATTTACCCTTCATGTGCCATCATTTTTGATTTCAGTTAAACAAGGATTTAGCTAAAGTTATATAGACTTTTTGGGGTTGTTTGCTCTAATGAGAAAATGTACTTTGCATTCATTTAATTAATACAACCAGAACCTCAACACATTGGTTTAAAAGTGTGCATTGAAAGATACCTGACTTGCAAAACATTATAGGAAAAGGAATAATTGGTGGTGGGGTTTTTTTGTGTTTTCTGTTGTCAGCTTCACAGAGTCCTTCAGAGGAAAGCAGGAATGAATATTTCACGTTTAAATACTTTCCCCAGAAATTCTGAATATCAAAGCCAATTTGTTTGGAAGAGTCCTCATGAAAAGTCGCCGATACTTGCAGCTGAAGAGGTAACTTTAAAGAATCCAAAAAGTAAATTAATGCTTTATTTTATGTATCAGCAAAATTGCTTATCTTCCAAGACTTGGTGTCTTCCTCTTTTGACAACTTGAATGTTGTCAAAATTATTTTTTTTCCTCTCAGTATACAAAAGTGCAGTATGATTAGATTTGTTTCCTCATGATTCTTTATAGTAGTCAGGTTTAATTACTTGGTCTCTTATCCCTGTTTATATTCCATCCTTTCTAACAGGACTGTTTTCTTCAGTTTGCATTAATTTACCCTAGCAGCTCTAAGATCCTACTCAAAGTTACCCTTGATTTTTATCAATTTTATGTTATCTAGTATATAGCTAATCAACAGAGGAATGCTTAGGTGTTCTGTATCGTAACAACATGCCTTGCCTCTGAATGCATTCAGGTTTCACTATTTATTCTCATGGTCTTTTATAGGTTTCCACAGTTTCTTAGTCTCCATCTTTGTGCACATATACTTTCAAGCCCTAAAGTGCATCTCTGTTGTGGTTTTATTTTGCTTCCATGAGAACTGCTTATACTTAAAGGTGGAATCTTCTGATTTTAAGATGCTCTTGTGGCTTTTTAATACATCTCATGAGTGTTTGGACTTTGTAGGATTGGAAATGCTGCTATTGCTGCTATTGATCAGTATTTCTGATCAAACCACAAAGAGTAACTCTGATTGTGAAACTGCTTTGGTTTTCAATTCATCGTTACTGGGATCAGGACTTAGGAGACTCAGTCCATCTTTCGGTCATTTTATAGTATAAAATAGGCACTTCTGTTTTTATTTTTGTCTCCTGTTTCTTGACTAGGAGCATATACATTAATGGGATTATTACCCGTAGGTAGCAGATTTGTTCAGTAACAGCTTTCAGAGACTTGATCACTAATTTAGGGTCATTCACTATAAAAACTGTTCCTCTCTTTTTCTTGATGGAATGCCAAGCAGGTGGACTTGCTTTGAGATGTCTGTTTTCCAGCAGTCTGTTATCCAAGAAAAAGTCACTGAAATGCGTGACAGTAGTATAGAAGCCAAAGGAACGTTTGAGGAAGAGGCAGGTCCCAGAAAGTCAACTTATGGAAAATTTCATGGAGAACTCCACTTGATTCTATTAGAAATCAGTTTGATAATTTCATTATTGATGCTTGTGAACATTGTGCTATTTCAGAAGAAAAACACTGAAATTTAAAATAGCAAACTTTTTTTTGACAGCTTATACAGAATAGGAAGTCATAAGTCTGTAGGCATTATAAATCCGTAGATAGAAAGAACTTAGAGAAATTCTAAATATGTAGAAATGTCTGCAGGTTCTAAACTTAAGATTAGCATTTCATGGTAAAAATTACACGTATTAACAAACTGATATTCTTTTGATTGTATTGATATGTTGGGGGATATACCTGAATGCAGGTATATGAATAATGAAAATACCTTCCCGTTAAAGAGATTCTGTGAAAATATCAAAGTTAATTCATGTTAGGTTATAAGTCAGATATAAACTCTCAAGTAAAGCTGGGGAAAACGTATGCTTGTGACATACGGCACGGTCTTTTAATTCAGCACCTCATGAGGAGATGATACCTGACCACATATTAGGCAAAGTCTGTACCCTGGTTTATAATTCAGTATTGATTGGAAAATATTGGATGGCTCAAGTTACCAAGCACTGGGCACCCAGTTCTAAAACACGGAATAGTTGTTAGTTTCTTAGGGACTGGACATGTACTGAGGACTCATAGGGGAAGTTTATGGCAGACATTTAAAAAAACGTGATTGTACATGCAACCCTGAAGGTGAACTGTCTTAGCAAATAAACAAAGTCTCTGTTAGTGAACATCAGTAAAAACAGCGTTTGACCACAGGTTTGATTGTGTATGACTTGGTCACTTTTAAATGTATTTTTATCAGATTGAGTTTCTCTTCAATTTGTCCTAGAAGTTAATTAGGCTAGTTAATACGTGCTGTATTTGTACATGACTGTCTCTCTGCTCATATGTGAGTGTGTTTGCATGAATTGGTTCACTGATTTTGAAAACTTAGCCTTAAGGTAAGCAAATAACACTTTTTTTTTGTTTGTTTGTTGTTGTTTTCTTTCCCCCAAAGGTTATTTGGAACACAAATAAATCCGTACCTCCATTTAAAGCTCCTGCAATTACTTCTGAAACTGCACATGAGAGAAATTTCAAAGAGTCTCCTCCTGTTAAGGGTCCACAAGAGAGAGGTGGTTCAGAAGAGAAAGAATTTCCAGTTTGTGAGCAAGTAAATACTTCCCTAAGAGAAAGGCATTAGTATACTTCTGTGATTTTGATTGTTCTTTTCTATAAAGTGGGGGTGGCTTTATTTTGAAGTGTTTAGTTACATTTTATAGCTGTTGCTAATGACCCTGGACTCGGTTAGTAGTGGTTTTGCTATGAAAGACTAAAAATAACAGTACAGCTCTGCTCTCGGGGGTTTCTGTAGTGTGTTTGTTCAGCTTGAGTGTGTTTTTCCTGTCACCTTAATTTATGAGTTTTCAAGTGTTTTTTTTTTTGTTGTTGTTGTTTTTAAACTGAAACTCTGTTTTTAGTCATTAGGACAGTTTCTGAAGTCTAAATCTTCAATTTATGCTCCCATTGGTACCAGTGTAGTCTCTTGGTATGCAGGAGGGCTGGATGGGAGATCTGGAACCTTTTGGATCTCATAAATCAGACATATTGTGAATTTAAAAATAATAATACTGTTATATGGAAGATGCCACAGTTGGATCTGATTTTCAGCCAATAGTAATTTGAAGAAACATGGAGGAAAGGTTACAATTCATTTCCCTTTGCCTTGATAAGTTGAGAGGTAACTGCAGGGCTATAACAGGACGTTGTGTGGCCTATGTAGGCTCTGTTACTCAGTTCAAAACATTAAAATGTCTGTTAGGAAAGTGATTTGGCTGTCTGAGGCCTTGCATTTCCTTGTCTTGCTGTTGGTTTGGACAAACATAAGTGGACTTACAGGAAACATGGCTACAGCTGTTTTACCAGATGCATTTAATAGAATGGAATTGTTTCAGACAGAGACCTTCTAAAAATAGGTGATGGCAGTTTAGACTGCGTGACAACTAACCTATTTTGTAGGGTGGATAGATGAATGTCTATTTTTGTAGGAAGCTGCCGAGTGTAGTGTTGTCTAAATTCCTGCAGGTTAGCTAACTATCCGGCCACAGATGAGTCTCTTCTGTACCCATCTCCATTCCTTGATAAAACAGAAGCAGCCATTGTCAGCTGTGTTCGCTGGTATCATTACTGAGCAAAATGCATATTTAACACAGAGTGCCTGTGGCTTGTTTTAAGCTGTTGGTACTTTTGAGGTTCTTAAAGGTGATTGTTGGCTCGGAGGCTTAATCTGGGTGCCCTTAATCACTGGGCACCCAGACCAGCCCAGTGCTTTGAATCTCATCTGGGAATGAGGAATTTTATGTGCCCTTTTGCCTCTTCTAGCAGATGTGAAAAACGCTTGAAAGGCATGAGGCTCTTAGGAAACATTTATTTGTTTTTAATGTTGTAAATTCCATGTTATATTTTCCCGAGAGAGCTAATAAAGTGAAGGAAGAGAAGGCATGAGAAGGGAATCGTGAAACTGTCTAAAACACTTTTTGGTTTATATCAATATCTCTTCTCTGATGAATATCTTGAAAAAATTTTGGATTTTGGTGGGCTTTTTTTTCTTGCTTTCCTTTTTTTTTTTTTTTTTTTAATCTGACAATATGTTTAAAGATCTCTAGCAAAATCAGAAATCACGTGTGAGCTTTCCAAGAGGATAAAATAAGCAGGAAGAAAAAAAATCTTTGATGTCAAAACTGAACAAGTCGATCTGACCTTTTATAAACCAGAATGGCAGCAAATTAAAAATTTCTCTTTTGGTTTATTATAAGTTGGTTTATATTGCTTGACTATAAACCTAAGAGTTTTTATTTTTAAAAATTTTTCACAAATTCCAGAAATATACTTGTTAAGTCTTACACACAGCTCAGGTTAAAGTTAGAATGCACGGGTATCATATTCTTTCATTTCTGTGTTTTCATGTTGAATACGTTTTGTAAAGTGTACAAAACACTCATCTACTAACTGAATGTTGCACTCAGAATCTTAGCTTTGGCTTTTTTATAGTTTATTTTTGTATATATTTTTGTATTAACAAAGGAAATGTAATATTCTTGTTTATATTAAATATGCAAAACAATTGACATTTTAAAGTAACATTATGCGAAAGTTTTATGTCAAAAGGAATATGAGGGTTTTCAGTTTTTTAGCTAATATACTATTTTTAAAATTATTTTTGCCCCAGAGTAAGAGGGAAGAACCATTTCAAAAGCCAGCAGAAGATGCAGCAAAACAAGGGAAGTCAGAACAGAAACATCCTAAACAAAAAAATAAGCAACATATCAGTCCAAAGCCCCTCTCTTTACATAGAAGCCGTGGGTATGTATAAAATAGGAAAATCTAGCCTAGTGGATAGGTGTGCAGCAGCGTAATATTTAGAATGGTGGACGATGATCTTTTAACTGCACCATCAGACGGTTGCGAGAGCAAATGCAATGTCTGCCCCCTGTGATTGCAGCCCCATGATTGGGCTTCCTGAGGGTACATCTAAACCTGCTAGTAGTTTCCATCCCCATCTCTGTGGAAGCTTTGTAACCACAATCGTTCAGTTGCATCTTCTGGTGCAATAATAATAATAATATTATTATTAATAACTTTAACATGAATGAAATTAAATTGGTGCAGCGCTGCTACTCAGCTTTCAGCGAGCGCTGTGGAAGTCGTAGTCACCTTTCAAACTGCTCTCCTATGCTTGCTCCACGCCTTAAAACTGTGATGATTGTACTTGATGTCTGCTTTTTCTAATCCGTACCACTTTCTGTCCCAGAGTAGCAACAGCAAACTCATGAGGTAAAGGGAAGTAAAGAAATCTGTCCCCTTTAGGGCAATCTGACAAGCATGGAAATAAAATGAAATTGTATGTTACTGAGCGCTATCAAAGTATATTTTTCTTCTGCCACATGACTGTGTTGCAGGAACCGAACTCATTCCCATTTTCTACACAGCTGAGATATGCCAAGAGAAATAAAAGTCCCGAGTGATGTAGGTTTTAAAATGCATATATTAATCCATCTCTGCTGTCTTTGTGCTTAATGTACGTCCCTGTGATTGCTCTCGTTCACATGACTTTCTGGCAATGTTAAGGCATTAGATTAAAGATGGGAGATGAGACTTACCTAGGTCTGAATGCTGTTGGATATTGGGAGATAATTACAAAATCATCACCCAAAATTCTGTGAAATAAAATTGGTTTATGAAAAAGTGAGTGAATATACTATAGTTAAAACCTTTAACTCTTGGGCTTTCATAGCTCTTTGACATAGTAGATTATAGTCAATTTTGCAGTGAGTAGTGTGTAAAATTCTTGATCGTTTGCTATGACTTTTTTCATTTAAGGACAAACTTCTGCCTCTTATGCCTTCCATGTGGTAAAACAAGACAAAAGTTTCCAAAATAATCACTGGGCAAATTGCTGTCAAAATGTGCAAGTTCTCAGTTTGCAGACAGGACTGTCTTTTTGTATGCAAGCTGCATTGCGTGGCCTGTGTCTGCAGCAGAGTGACTGAGATCAAGGCACAGCAGTGATGTGTTTTTTGAGCTAATCCATTGGTTTTGCAAACAAAACTGAAGGAATTCTGTCAGTTTCAAAGAAAGGGACATACGGAAAGAAATTTTCAATATAAAGGGTTTTTTTGCCTTGCTATTTTTCTTTTTACAAGGTACATTTTATTCTCTGACTTCAAGTTTTATGATATATTTCTGAAGAAGGACTGAAAAAGAGGGTGTTTTCACCCAATGCTGAATATATTAAAATAAAGTTAGTAATGTTCCGAAGCAAGATTAATACCAAAAAACTCTTTAGATTTAAGTTGATAAATCCACAGTTCAGTTCTTAAAGGACTTGAAGTGTTGCTTATTGCCTGCTGTAGGTTAGATGATGTTAATTTTTCTGTGTATGTATGTGTATGGCAGAAAGGAAAATGAATCCATCTTTTCAAGTACCGAGGGCTTTTGAAGATCAAAGCCAGTAGGCCACAGTTACGTGAATTATGCTGACCATTGTTCTGGTAGTCAGATATTTCAAGCCCCAACAGTTCAGAGTGTTCAGCTGCCTTCAGAGTGGAGTTTCTAGAAGGAAATGTCTCGGACACAGTAGGGCCAAACCAGGCATTTTTCCTTAAATACACCTTTATCAGTGACTGAAACCAAGGTGCTCCACTTTGCATTGAAGTAATTGAGGCTTCTGTGTGTAGTATGTTCTGCTGATTTGGCTGTCAGGGCAAAAGCTTCTGGAGAAGGGTTGTGAGGAAAAACCAACAGGAGAAACTACTTGAAGAGCCACCAACTGTGAATGAACTTTTTCACAGCTTTCCTAGTCGTGTTGTTATGGATGAGCTGTGCTTTTCACATCTCAGCCCTGGCATTTAAGTATAAATACACTTATGATTGTTGATATAACATTAAAAGTGCTCTTAAAGAGTCTTCTGGATGTCAAGCTTTGCTCTTTCTGCTTTTTTAACCTGCTTCATTCTTTATTTCTTAGGAAGATGAACACTGAATATAGGTCAAAATTTTTGTCTCCAGCCCAGTATTACTACAAAGATGGAGCTTGGTCTCGTATTAGGAGTAAAGTTCCCAACCAGGTGAGTAATCTTAAAGCCTGAGTATGCTTTGTATTTTGATTTTTATATGCAAAAAACTTCAAATAGTGGTGTTTATAAGACAGTTTTGAGGTTGTACTGCTAATGGCTCAAGCTTCCAAAGGTGAGTACACGAAGAAGATTAAGTTCTGACGGCCAGTATGGTATGTAGTAAGAAAAGAGACAGTGTGACTTAAAGAATATATTAATACGACGTACAAAGTGAGGGAGGAGCTTTGTTTCCCTTAGAAATCGGAGTCATCCAGAACAGAGTCTCTTGGAGCAGATAACTGTAGCGTTGATGTTCAGCCCAGTTGTAACAAGCATAAGTTTTCAAAATGGAAAATTAGATGATAGGAGAGTCCAAGGGAGTAAAAGGAAAAGGCCAACACATGTATCAGCCTTGGTAAGCTTGATAGTCAAAATGAGTTTATTAGCTTGCCATGCTGAATCCGTGCAAAGCAATCGGCTGAATGCAGTCATACACAACACAAAATTAAGACTTTCTCTTGCAAGTTTCAGCCAATCCAAGTATTTTCTTATAGTTGATTCAGTAACTATGATCAGTATTATACTGCATAGGAGCTCATTTGACAGAACTCTGAAAATGCTGAATAGCTTCGGGACCATAGGACTTATTAGGATTATTGAGTATGATTTCCTGAATTAGACAAGTCAGTCAAAACTGTTAGCAGTGTGCTAACACACTGCTGGAGCTAGTTCTGCAACTGCCAGATTTCACTAAATTAACTTAGGCTTCTTCCATCTGATGGAGGGAGCCTTTGTGAGACACTGTGGGCTACTAAATGTGTGCTAGGTACTTGGAAATGTGAGTTTCCTCATCAGTTGGGACCAAGCTGATGTGGAAGATAGAACTGGAGTGGATGGTTCTAGGATGTCAGGCTTTGAAATTTTGAAAATAACATACTTTAGGAACTGCAGAAATAGTGTGGTAGCATTCAGTTCTGTGTTTTCTCACTGGATTTAGTCTAGTAAGTAATTTTCTTCTTAGGCAAAAAGAAATATATATATATCTATACACAATACTCCATGAGAAATAGGTCTCAAAATTTAAAGTATATCGTAGTATGTGATGATAGATAATCAGATTTCTTATATGTATGCATGAGATAATCCATTCTGTGAAAACAGCCTCACGAGGATGTTAGAGGACTAAAAACAAGTAGTATTTTTATTTTTTATATTTATTGATATATGCATTAGATTTACTGTAACTAAGGCTGTAGAATATTCTGAATTACTGCATGCAGCCTGACTAGAGAGAATGTTTCTGTAGAATGTTATGTCATTTTTCTGGCATATAAGACTTTACTTTGGAGACTGGATGTTGCATCAGTAATGTTCAAAACAGGAGCAGTGCTCAGCTTCAAGAGCAACTGACTGGTAGGCATGAAAGGGAAAGGGGCGCTTTGTCCTAGAGTATATTGTGTTTGTGGCACAGCTGGGAAGAGTCACTGCGCTGCAGTCAAAGGAAAGATTGAGGAGACCACAAGTGGAGGGTGGGTGTTCTGCTTTACCAGGCAGCATCCTTTTTGGGTCGGGTTTGAGAGATGTAGGGAGTAAACATATGTGGCATTTAATTAAAGTGCATGAGAAACTCAAGAAATTCCCACACTGTAGATAGACGTTTTGGATGACTTTTCCATGAAGATTTGCTTGCTGAACAAGGGGATTGCAGAAAAAGCTAGAAAGAAGTCACTTGAGAGTAGGCGTGACGAATTAAAAAAATAATGATTAAGATTTTTAGGGCCTTCTAAATGAAGGAGTTGTACTGGGTAGTTGAAAGAGCCAAGTTAATTTCAAGACTATAATAACAAATGTTTTATTGATGACAAATGTGTTTAGATTACATACACGTTTTTGATTGAATACACATTTTTATGTATGCATAACTACATTAGATCCTAGTATGAGTTCATATGGAAGAGACTTTTATGGTTGGAATTACCTGAATGTCTCCTCTCTCTGTTAGACTTTAAATCACGCGCCTGTGAGCATATATTGTGGTTTAACCCCAGTAGGCAGCTGCGCCTCAAACAGCCACTCGTTCATTCCCCCTCAGTGAGATGGAGGAGAGAATTGGAAGGCTAAAAGTGAGAAAATGCATGGGTTGAGATAAGGGCAGCTTAATAGGTAAAGCAAAAGCTGTCTGCACAAGCAAAGCAAAACACGGAAGGCAGGTGTTCAGCCATCTCCAGGAAAGCAGAGCTCTGTCACGTGTAACAGTTACTTGGGAAGACAAATGCCATATCTCCAAACGTCCCTCCCTTCCTCCTTCTTCCTTCAGCTTTTATTGCTGAGCATGATGTCATATGGTATGGAATATTCCTTTGGCCAGTTGGGATCAGCTGTATCCCCTCCCAGCTTCATGTGAACTGGTGGGGCAGTGTGAGAAACAGAAAAGTTCTTGACGCTGTGTAAGCACCGTTCAGCAATAGCTAAAACATCCCGTTGTTATCAACTCTGTTTTCAGCACAAATTCAAAACATAGCACCACAGGAGCCACCTATAAAGAAATTCAACTCTATGCCGGCCAAAACCAGTACAGCATATCAAACTAGTTTTGCTAGTAGACAAAGAATAATATGTACCTTGTGTAAATGTGTTACTGTGTGGGATTTTTTCCTATATGGAGTTTTTTTTAATTTGCAATTGTCCTGTTAATATTTCCATAGGTATGGTTGAGGGTTATAATTCTTAAAAAGAAGTTTTTTGTGGTTGTGGTGAGAGCAAAGAGCAAGGTTAAAGCTTGGAATTTTCCAGTCTTCAAGACAGGTTGGAAGAAAACCAAAGTTAATTCTTAAAACCTCTGTTTTAAGAATAAAAATCCCGATGGACCTGATTCTTGGTCAGGGTTTTTTTTTTTTTTTTTTAATATCCATCAATATTTTTGTTATAAGAACTACAGAATGGGATCCAGCATGGCTAAAATTGTAGGATTGAATAAAATATTTTGTCCACGATTGAGACATAGGAAAGAATCCAGCCACTTGAGAAATATGTTAACAGCAGATTAATATGTGTATAACTTGCAAAAAGTTTCAAGCGCATTGGTTTTATAATAAAGCAAAAAAGGTACTTTGGCCATTCACAATGTAGGTGGCCCCACAGTCCTTTTGGTTTCTAAATTATTCCATACCCGTTGCCAGTATTTTTCATTCACATGAAGATAAATGTTTGGCAAAGCTGTATCTAACCTCTGCCTCTGGTTGTTTGTTGAGACTCACACCTGCCACAGGTGCCTACAGAACATCTCTTGCTTAGCGTAAGTGATTAGATGATAAGCTCTGACTGATCCAGTCTGGTTTCCCCCTTAGCTGGGACCGCACATGGATAGCTTTGGGTCCAAAGCAGGCTTTCTAAACTTCTGAGCCCAAGCAGGTAAAGACTGCAGTAGAATCCTGATATGACCTTAGCCATAGTGGTTACTCCTAGACTGTTACTCTACAATATATTATTAAGGGTTGCTTTTCAGCAATGAAAAAATTGATTCAAATGAAAAAATCTCTTTGAATTATGCTTTGAAAAATTAATGCGGGCAGTTCATAATCACAGTAGGACTCCCTGGGGCCTGTGCCCTGCTGAGATAATGCTGCCCGCTGAGTCACTGAAGAAGATGGTTGTCCTTTGTACTTCTTCACAATTCACTGGAGACATAGTATGCTTCCTCCCCCTGCCGTGTCCTTTTGCTCTGGATTTATATTCCTTCTGTTGTGGCTATCATAATTAATTTTTCCTTTTTCCTCTTAAAGTGAATAATCCAGTAGATCGCTTGCACCTCAGACTTCAAACTCTCCTCTTAAAATGACAAGTGTATTTTTTTAATGGGCTATTCTTTGGAAGTTTAGTGGGTCAAATGGTGGGATGTTAGCTGGGTGGGCTAAGTGGATTTCCATCTGCTGCATCCAGTTTCTTTTAGGGGGTTTAACAGAATTTGGCCCACTTAACCTTGTTCCTTGCAGGAAGAATGATGAGGAGTCTATCATGAGACAAGAATAAATAAGAAAAGCTATGAAAATGTATGAAAATGTGCTAGAGGAAGTGTCAGTATTACTTTCCTGCTCTTTGACAAAATACTTATTTCCTGTGAAACATTTTTTAGTGAGCCAGAATTGACACAAGAATATCACAAAGTTATTTTTAATCATATAAACACAGAAGTGTTGTTGTTGCTTTTTCTTCCTGCACTTTTATTGTGCTTGGGTGAAGGACACAAGACAGTGTGAGTGTTGAAATAGTTTTAACCATAAAAATGATAGTGTAAAATCAGCGGTATGATGTCTAAAGAAAGGGCTTATCACTTTTATTTTTTTTAAGACTAAACCTAACATCTTATTCTTACAGTTACTGGTAGTCTATAAAGAGTGATTTTGATACTACGTCTTACATACCATAACACCAAGAGTTCTCATGTAATCATCAGCTCCTCAATGACATAGGATTAATGAGGCTAGAGACAGTTGCGGTGTTCACAGCATACAAACTCAGTATTACACATGCATGTAGATCTGTTGAATTGAAATAATCATAAATTAGCATGTGGTGAATATATTTTTGGGTGTTAAGTCTTAGAAATCTAAATGAATTTCCTTCAGCTTGGCAAAAACTGGTGAAGTACCAGTGCTGATGTATTTGGTTTACAGCTTTTAACTGAATCTCAGGGAGGCAGCATAGAGCTACGTTGACAGGTATTTAGTATTTGATTTCTTAGACTGAGATACAGTTACAGGGGTGATAATAACAATACAGTGTTGAGAGAAAAATAAGAAACTTTAAAGTAATTCTGTATTCCTCTCCTTAGGCATCTCAAAACACCCTAAATTCCATGTGGTATATGGAGGTTGGTCGCATCTAGGTTCCTGTTTCAATATTTGGAGCACTGTGTCTCAGCGCTGGTGGAAAAACTAGAATCCAGCACTAAGCTTAATCGTAGCTGCTGCATAACTTTTTATTCTCATTGAATGAGTAATTGGCAATTTCGCTTTGGCTTCATGGCTCAAACATGCTTACTAAGTATATACTTTTGTTGTTTTTGCTTCCCTTTTCTTGCATTTACTGCGGCATGCAAAGTTTGTGCTGTGGGCGGCCTTGTATTATGAGTAACTTGCTTTTCTCATTTAGCTGCCATTAGCTAATGCAAATATGTTGTAATAATAACAGCTTATTAGTGAATTTTAAACAGACAATTTTTGAAACCTTGATGTGCAGGTGAGAGAACTTCGAGAAAGAGCAAAGGCTTACAGGCAACGAGTAGAGGGAACACACTTCTCCCGATACCATCTCAATCAGATCCTGTCTGATAATAACAGTCTTTGGGATGTGTCCTCAAATTCCAGTTCAGAAGAAGGCATCAGCAACAACATCAGAGCACTAGATCTTGCAGGGTAAGGTCATCATTCTTGCCTATTATTCAGCAGCTTTGAAACATAGCAAAATGCATATGCATGTTAGCACAGCTGGGAGATCTTGGATGTTTGGCTGTGTTCAAGATGCGATTGGACAGGGTGCTCAATAGTCTCATCTAGGCTCCCTTTCCTCACAAAACGTTGGACCAGGTGGTTTGAGGACCTTTCCAACCTGAACTGTTCTTAGATTCTGTGATATGTAAATTCTGTAGAACAGATGAGGGCATTTACCTTTTCACAGGTACGTCAGTTGATCTGTGGTAAAATTGAAAACGATGATCAGTCCAGCCTTCTAAAAAAGGGAAAGTTATGCCTTTACAATCCTCCACAGATGCTTATTTAGTGTGGTAACCGTAGTCTCAAGTCTGGAGGAATTTCACATGGAGTCATACTGAAGTAGTACTCTCCTGGAATGATATGAAATATATTTTGCCTACTCAGATGCTATCAGTGTTCTTGTCAGGATTAATTAGTCTTAGACACTGTTTAGTTCTGAAATGAAGACTTTGGAACTGGGACGGTGTACATCCCTTTTCTCCTTTCTTTGAAGGCCATCAGAATGGGTAGATAATAAATCCCTTGCTAGGAAAACTGAGAATGAGTAGTCTAGTAAAACGTACAGACAGCTATTGCTGAAGCAAGGAGGAAAAAAAAAGCCATTTGTGACATCTCTGAGATCTGATATTTAAAAACAGTGCCTTGGATCCCTCTGTCTGCAGTCCACTTAGGCTGCTGTATGTGCACTACTTGTGCGAGTGAGGAAGATATACCCATTTGCATGAATGAAGCTCTAATAAGGGTTGGAGAATGACACGTAAAAGACTATTTATTACACTACAGTCTGTGGTATTAAGCGTGGTATATATTTTTTGGTTTACTGGTTTAGTTTTTTGCCTGTGAAATGCAGAATCTCTTACTGATCATGTTTTTGTGCACTGGGCTATTTTGCACTGTTTTGTGTGAGCAATTGAGAGTTTAAGACTTACAGAAGTTGTGCCTAAAGAGCAGTCTTCTGAACTGCTTGGCTTTCAAAATTGTGCTGTCAGTTCCCTGTGCATGGACCTAGTTATTTTTTTAGCACTTCTGATAATCTAACTTGTTGTTTAACTTGGAAACAGAGCCCTGATTTTACATTACATTTTTGGAAACAGTCATCCACAAAGAGTTTTCATAGAATCTAGTTAGAAAATGGATTGTGCTTAAACATCAGTTAAGACTTCAGTGGAAATTTAACCATTCATCATGTCAGCTGTACCACTTTTTAATATGTGAGCTGTACTTTTGTCAAAGGGCTGAACTGGATGAATGTGTTCTACATAGACATGTGTGTATCGTGCAAATCAGTGGTGTGAAACGCTGCTTTCTTTGTTACCTAGAGTTTCTGAAAAAGAGACTGCACCAAGCCCCAAAATGCTGCAGCAACCTGACTCCATAGAACAGCCACACCAGGACAGCACTGAGAAGAAAGACATATCAGATGCTTTAACTCTTCCAGTCAAACGGCGTTTAGTTTGGGGTGAACAAGAAGGTACTGGAGAAAAGGAGAATCGGCAAGCAACAGAAGAGGAAGAAAACCAAGATGAACAGGCCCCAGCTGTGGCTCAGCAGTTAGAAGAAAACAATAAGGATGCCAACGAAGATAAGAAAATTGAAGGGTAAAACTGAACATTTTTTTGGTATATATATGTATATATAATTTTTTCCTCTAACATCTCCAAAATTTGTACGTCAACTTTAGAGCATATTAAGTTAGCGTGACCCTACTTTTGTTTTTAACAGTATGATAAGAAATGAGAAAGTTCACGACATTGAATTGGTTGATGGATATTGATCTGTCATGAAGAATACTGGATTTTTAACTTGCAAAACAGAAGTTTGTAGAAGCATGAACAATCATAATGTTTTTTTTTCCAAAACTTTAAAATTTGCAGTATGGTCCTCTCGGAACAGACTGTTCATTGCACAGTAGCCAAGTGTAGTGAAAATTAAAGCTCACAATTTGCTTCAGATTGACAGTGTAGGATTCATAGGAGTGAAATGATAGAATACATGTTAATCTTGTGCTTAAGCATCTGTTTTTGTTAAAAAATTCACAGGCAAAGGTAAAGGACTTGGAAGAGAAAAATAACTAGCATCCAGCAATCACTAGTGATTACGTTACTGAGCACAGGCAGGAAAAAGGGGACAGGTGTTCAGAAATAATGAGATAAATTTGGTATATGCATAGTAGAGGGCATAGAGCTGTATTTGACAGTTGGAAGATCCAGTTATATCTAGTTACAGAAGTCTCTGGCTTTTTACTGTGCAAGTTTTGCCTACTTTTTTTTCGTGGAACAGTATTTTAGTTTTCAGATTTAAGAATCTATCATAACTTTGGCTCTTTTTACCATACCATCTAAGCATTTTGTATTCCTCATTGGGTTTCATCTTTGGTGTTGCAATGTGAATCTAAGGAATTGCAATTGTCACCTTTGGGGATAATATCCAGTATGCAAAACCCAGGCAAGGAAAGATTGAGGTGCTAGATTCAAACAGAAATTAAATGCAGGCTTTCAAAACCGTCACCCTGAAAACCTTCTTAAGTTTCTATCTAATTCTGGAGATTATCTAGTTTATAGATGTGTCTCTGACTGACATGGAAGATTTTCTGTCAATCTGGCGTTGTGTGTGCTGAAATCTGGACTTGGCCATGCAGAGCAGCTTAACACTTGCACATTGTCTAAGCCTCATCGAGAGCTAGAAGTGGGGTTTTCTTTGCCTGCACGTCCTCAGAGCGTGTCTAGCATGCACTGATAGGATCAGGCTCCTTGCAGAGTGTGGGCATGCCACCACCTCCGTTTGAAATGCATCTGGAGGAAAAAGAAGTGGTAGTGCTGATTTATTTAACAACCTGGGGGCTAGAGTGGTTACATAAATGTGGGATACTTGGTTTCAGTTCCACCACATTGACTGAAAAGAGTCAAACCCACATTCCCACCTCTAAGGTAGGAACCAGGCTCAAAGGTGTTCTGGGTGAGTACTCCTTCCATCCCTCCTGTTAGTCTCTGCTACTGTGCAGAAATACATTCAAGGTTTATTGGGGCAGAGGGAGACTGAATTTGCAGCTTGAGACTGTTTATTTGTGTTTTATCCAGTTACATAAAAAATAAAATACAGAAAGTGAAGCTCAGGAGCTGGAATCCAGGACTCCCCATTGCAAGCAGATGTTTTAGCTACAGGCTATTGGTGTTTTATCACCCCGACTGTCTTGCCTTAGTCTTCATTGTGGGAATCTATTAGAAACAAAAAGCTTGAGTGCAAGACTCCTGAGTCCTTAGCTAATCCTTTAATAATTTCTCATTTTTTGCAGTGAGAATGCCTTGCTATTGAATTCTCCTGCAGCTGTGTCAGATTCTTCTTCCGTATCCTCAAGGTCAGGCGGCAGGCTTCCTACTCCAAAGCTGAGAGCGCTTGGTGGAGCTCAGAGGACTCATCATGATCTCACTACCCCAGCTGTTGGTAAAAACTTTTAAATGCAAAGCAGTATTTCAGGAACTAAAGAAAAAAAAAGCATGTATGAAGTAATTTAGTAGGTTATTTAAAGTAATAAAGCATTTTTCATCTTCTCCACTACAATAGGAGGTGCAGTTCTAGTGTCTCCTCCTAAATTCAAGTCTTCATCTTCACAGCAGAGAACAAGAGGTTTAGGAACAGACCCTTCTTCAGCTAAGCAAAGTGCAAGAGAAGCTTCAAAAAGAAGGTCATTACAGGTGAGCCAGAAAAGAGACTTACCATCATGCAATTTAGGGATGTGCTTTTTAAGTAACTGTGAATAATTTATTTAATAATTCTGTTTCTTGAGTTGTCATTTACTATTCTAAAATTTTCAGCATCTGTGACTAAAAAAGGCCAATGTCTGAATAAATCACTGTTTTGGGGTATGAAGCAATGGAGTTGAGACTATTGGAGTGAGATTGGATGAGCTTCATTTTGGCTTTTTCTGCTAAATGCACAGGATCTGTTTAAAAAAAAAAAAGAAAAAGAGCTGCCATTAGGATCTGTTGATTTCCCCATTCATGTTACAGTAGCTTTCCAGTGACACAGGGCACAGCTCCAGATTTCTTGACTGGAAAGAAGTTTTAAGAAGGAGAGGTCGGTTGCCTATGTACAAGATAGGTGAACATGCCGTAATAGTTTCATTTTCCTTTCCCTTTATGTTTGTGCTTCTTTCATTTTCCAGCTTACATAGTTACTAGAAGAAAAGTAGAAACATCTAGGAGTTGTTTAACTGTCTTTCTCTTGAAATTTTGGGGGTTTTGTCAAGTTGTTCTCAGTCTGTGCTTTACAAAGACCGCTAGCATTTCACTGCATGCATCCTCTGGAGTAAGTTCTGTAACTGGAACAGACACAATTGCATGAGAAGTTGTTTGTGTTGGTTTAAAATCTAAGATCACAGGGGTTTTTTTTGCTGTGAAGAAAATAAGCTTTTCGTTTGACCTGGCTAGATTACTTTCAGACCATGTTAAACACTTGTTACTAGGAATAGATTTTCTTTAAGTTGTCTCACAAGTTTGAAATACTTACTCTTCCAGTACCCTCATGAGAGGTGTAACAGTATAAAGCCAATATTTCCTGCATATGTGAGGAGCTGTACTGGAAAGCTGTATATGAGATGTTGGGTTTTTGTGGTTGGTGTATTTTTTTTTTTCTTTTCTTTTGTGTTTTAGCCTGCTGTGGAAGTAGAAGCTGTTTCACACCTTACCTCTCCACCTGCTGGGCTGGGAACTTTGGATCCTCTGCCACTTAGGCAGGATCAGTGGCCTCCTAACAGTGTTTCTGATGAGCAAGTTCCTCTTGCTTCAGCCCATCAAGAGCGCTCCTCTATACCTCCTGTGCTGAAGTCGGCCAAAAGCTGCTCTATGCCTTGCTGGAGTCCCTCTCGTCGTATTCAAGGGACTCTCAAAGATCCAGAATTCCAGCATAATGGTGGGTTTTGTGTATTAATGGGCTGTCTTAGAGTACTACAGGATGGAAATGGCTACCCTGTAGCGTTCAGGCCAAGACAGTGCTAAGTTTGCTGCCTTACAGACTCTACAAAGAATGTGTTATTTCTAAGCAAAAGCTTTTCTACTGTCTGTTTAGTCTTGCTGAGGAAATATGCACAACTTTCTGCTTTAGTTTCAGATTCCATTAATAACATTGTATTCTAGTGGTCTGTTGTCTAATTTTGCCTTAGTATATTCATTAAGTACTTATTCATTATAAGAATAATTTGGTTTAGCATGAACAGTTGTGATTTTTAATCTTTAGGCTACAACTGGATGCTTTGACACTTTTCCAGCCAGAGTTACCAACAGTGCTGTGTCACTGGGGACCTTTATAGTGTGGTATTGTTTTGCAGGAGTTGTGGATTTCTGAGGGATAAGCTCCTTAACTGTTTCTGCAGGATATGGAAACAAAAAAGCCATCTATAAAAGATTTATTGAATATAGAGAAAAGCCATTTCTTGGCTGAGGAGGAATTTGTGTTGGAGCATTTCAAAGATTTTTAAACAATGTTTAGGGGTACTGGGGGCATAAATTTGATAAAGAGTCCTTCAACCCTTAGTCAAAATAAAGTTTATGTGCTTAAGTCTCCATTCCAGAAAGACTTTCTATAGCTGCTTAAGGTCCTTTTGTTATAAAAATTAGCTAAACTAAAGAGTATATCCATTCTAGAATGGAACAAGTAGTTTTCACGTAAAGTGGGATGGTGAAATCCAGAGAATATCCTTGGAAAGAGGTTAGAATCCGTGCCATGTTCTAACTTTGCACCTTGTGTGCAGTTCACTAAGTAACTTGTATCTTCTACCAAAGATAGGTGCCTTGAGAGGGATACAGTTGAGTAAGTTTATTTTACCTCAGCTTTGAGTAAAGGAGTCTCCTGGAGTTTTTGGTGTGTTTGTTATTTATAAGATTTGTGTTTTGGAAATAACATTGTAACATTTTAAAATGTTCTAAAATCAAAATAGACAAAGGATAATATTTTAAATGATTCAAAAATGTGCCTTTGATTTTTTGTCTTAGGGAACATTGGCAATCCGAAAATGAGATCTTTCCAGTTACCCCCTCAGGAAAGAAACTATAATGATGAAGGTATGTCCTGTCCCAAAGCATTGTTGCATATCATGTGTATATTACCTAGATTAATTTTAACCTTTACACTGATGTGGGAAGTCTCTGAATGCAATAAATAATACTGGCTTATGTGTTTGTATGAATAATTACTTCATTGTTTCATCAAAATAATTTGAAAATGTTCATCCTAGTTATCTGAAGTATTAATATGAAGGTATATTCTAGTATGAATAAGCCATTAAATGTAGCTGAAAACTAAATGCCATATTAAACCACTGTGGTCTAATACAGCTTGCACAGTTCCTTACCTAAAATTGTTTGCTCCCCACACATTTTTTAAGCCTTTGTGTTGATAGCAACAGAAGCAAACTGCAAAATAATCACAATCCAGGTTGTAGCTGCAGTAATTTGGGATGCAGTTTAAAAAGTACCAAAAATCTTAAGATAAAGATTTTGCTTGTGAGATTTCAGCACCAGTTACGCAGCATACAATGATTCTTCTGACTTCAATTTTCACACCTGTTCCTCTGCTCAGTGTATTAGGGGTCTGTATGGTATCCTGTTACTCTGATTGCTGTTTTGATCTTTTTTCCTGTTTACTGTGAAGTTAATGTGGGGGAGCAGCCGGTGCACAGCCCACCGCTGCCTCTTCTTGGCCCTGTTGTGGGCAGACACAAGTAAACTCTCTCAGTAATGTGAGTTGACCAAAGGCACTGTAGCCTCATTAGCTTGAGTTGCTGTATATTGTTTCTTACCGGGGTGTTTGAGGTTGAGCTTTGGGTCCCGCTGCGCTAGTTGCAGTCACCTGTGTTTGGTTCAGATTAAAGTATGGGCAGAGCAAGCTTATATCTGATTGCAATTTATTTATAGATATACCCCAGAGCAACCAAAAACCTTTTTCTGTACCCCTTGCGCTTGTTTGCTCCTTGGTTTTAACCAAAGTTCAGGCCGATTCTCTGTTTTACTCATTGCAGTTGGCTGGAAAATATGTGGGTTGTGCAGCTGGCTCAGCCAAGCATCTGTATCTCTACATAAACCATGCAAAATCCTGTAGTACTCTGCAGCTTCCCACAAGCTTGCTGCACACAGATTAAATGCTGTAGCTGCTGTTTCTTTTTCTCTTTCTTTTTTTTTTCCTATGAGCTGAGTGATGATGTGTGAGCTTTAAGAAGCAGGTGCAATGTGCCAGCTCACAGATAGTTCATATGCCCCTATTTTTTCATGTACATACAAGCCTGGGAGTTACTCCAATGTCATGTCTGTTTGCAGAGGTGCAGTTTTCTCATACATGGGAATACAGTTGTTATGCACAGTGTGTGAGCCTGTTCCAGGCTGTTCGGATCACTGTATTTCAAGAACTTAGAAATGCTGCTGAAAACGTAATTGAAGCACTGACAAAGTACAGGACCTGTTAGGATTGAGTTGTGGAAATTTTTGTTGGGTTTTTTTTGTTGGTAGATGGGGCTGGAAAGTAGCGGTGAAGTTCTTTTTAATCCATTTGCAAGAGAATGGATTTTACATAGAGAAAATGAAGTCTGACAGGAGCTGGGCATGTAGCTCTTCTAAACTTACCCAGCATCCTGGTAGCTTTCTAGTGAGATTCTTCTGCAGCATGTCAGCTCCCAAGTAATAGAATTAAAGTGTATTGCAGCACTATTTTAGCATCGATTGTGCAACGGGGCATAAAAATATTTGCACTTTCAAAGTCTGCCATGAATGTCAATTGTGTCTTAATAAGTGTATTTAATCTTCCTATTTACCTTTTCCTGTGTTTCTTTCGCCACAGATGACAGGTTGTCTCAGATTTCTGCTCGCTCAGCAGCGTCTAGCTCCCTTGCATCTCAGATACTGGAACGAGCTCAGAAGAGGAAGGATTTCTGGAGCAAGAAATAAGCTTTTCGACCCTTTGTACAGAAACTGTTCTGTAAAATTATTATTGTTTTTTTAAATGGTTTGAAGTGTATATTTTCAAAAATTGTGATTGTAGATATCATGCAGCATCCTTTCACTTACCACTAATATAGCCCAACTTTTAGGACTTGCCGTCCCAATGTAAAATTTCAATATTTAAACCATCATTGAAAATTTAAGTCCTTTATATCAGAGAGTTACACCTTGATTTTAACCAGTGATCTTAAAGGCAACCGTGGTATATTTGTTTATGTTACTGTATAAATTGCCAGTACAACACAGTGTTGTAACAAAAAGTTACTTTTACTACTTACTACTTTTAACCTGTTACCAAAAATTTTTTACTGTTTCTTAGTGACGCTAACGTGGAACATGCAGGAGTCTGAGAAAAGGATGCTAAGCGTTAGGGTTTGTTCATTTTCCACAGTTTTTTGGCCAGGATGGCTATTAGAGTTCAATGTGTACAGTACTGCAGTTCATCAAATGTACTGATGTGAACATTTGTCTTTTTGTGGGCAAGACCCATGTTTAGCATTAATTTCAAATTCTCTAGAAAAACCTCAGCCACCTTAAACAGTGGCCTTCCCCAGCCCTGCTTCAAACTCAGGTAATGTCTTAAAGTAAACTCTGAAGAATGTTTTTTCTTGATTTTGACATTTTAATTACCTCTCCTCCTGGTTGCCTCTTTCTTGGAGACTGGTGTACTGTTATGATTGTCACAGTGAAAAATGTTTGTGATTTATGCTGACAGCTTGTTTTATCTTTCCAAGCGATGCAGACAAGTTGACATCAAGTAGAGAAAATTGGTGGCTAGCAGGCAGTTTATTTCTTCTTGGGTGGCTTCAAGTTTTAATATTACTTCACTTGGAATTTTATACAAGAACAATTTGAATTTTGTACACATTTGCTTACATTTTGATTTTGTACACAATTATGTACACACATTACTGGAAATAAAAAAGGTTGTTTGTTTTGTTTCTATTCAAGTTATGCCAGATAAATTAGTAGAGCCTGTTATGTTGGCACTTGTCTGTTTAGTTCTATTTCACCTCTTCAGCTGGAACATCTGTGGACATTTGAAGGATGTTACCTCAGAACTGATCTTCAGAAAGAGTAAGTTCCTAAAGCTAGATAGTTGATACGTGGAATTGTGGCTGGCTATAGATACTTGGAGTCGTGGCCCAGAGCTGATGGTTGCTACACAGGTGAGAAGGCTGCAACTGCCAAAGGGCCAGTCCCCAACGAATGATGTCTTGATTTAAAGAGTGAATGCTACACTGATCATGTTAGAAACAGAGTCCACTTTTTCCAGAAATAGTGCATCGTGGTAGCTTCCTACCACTGATGGTGTTTGAAATAAATCAAGCTATTTTATCTCAAGGCCTTCAGGTATTGTTTTGTGGCATGCACTTAGTACGTAAGTTATAATTGTTCAGAAAGTTTCTACTGAAAGGGAAGTTGCATTTGTGTGCAACAACCTGTATGAAGTTTTTTTTTTTCAAAAATGATGGTTTTATTGTGGAAAACTGCCTAAAAATGGAAATATTTTAGTTTAGGAGGGAATGTTGCTGCAATGTGTTGCAGGGGATTAATTTGGGTGTCTTCTCTCCACATTCTTCATATGGTTCAACATGTTCTTATGGTTCTCAAGGCCAAGAGCTCTCTCATCATTCATTACTTCTCTGCAGTAATACACGTATTAGGAGTTTTATAAACTGTGTCCTCTTTTAAAGTCTTTTTTATTTTTTTTTCTAGATTTTTTGTTTTGTTTTCCTAGGATTCCTGGCTATTCAACAGCTCTGTCAGAGTTTTTGTGCCGGCCTGATTTTAAGGCCTGCAAGTCATAGACATTATAACAGCTATCTATGTGCCAATATTGCTTACAGTATTGCACCATCAGTCTGGTAACATCTGAGTTTGTTAGATGTGTGCTGTCTGGTATGTGTGTATTGATTTCTGCCAGGGAGAAAATATATGTGGTAAAGGAGGGAGACGTTTTTGTTTTATGGGGGTACAAACCCAGTTTGGAGGTAAGAGTAGAAACCCCTGGTGTCCCACACATTATCATGAAATTATTCCCCATCTGAACAAATTTTAGCTTTTGCCTGAAATGTTCTAATTGAATGTACTTTTGGACAGAAGTATTTAATGGGAATGTAGACAACATACCATTTTTGAGTAATGCTAGTGTGAAGTTTCTGCAGGGTGCTCTTCTGTAGTCTTCAAGGCAAATGTGAAATTCTTTATGCCTGCTTTCTGCTATTGTTGTTTATCTAGTTCAGGAGGCTTTTTGTTTTTTGTTTTTATTTTTCTGTACGTTTCAGACCAGCCTTCAAACATGTATCCCGTTGTGTTCTCCAGCAAGCTGAACATGAAAAAAAGGTTCAAAAGTGCACCCTTTATTAATAATTACAAGTGCGTGCTGTACAGTAGATGTCTATTGTTTTCTGTCAAGGAAATCTTAGAAGCCTTGAAGTGGGGAGAGACCAAATAGATAAACAAAGAGAAAGGCAGTTGCTAATAGGAGATACATCTAAGGAATAAACAGCTTTGGGAGCTTGTTGACTTAAGGTCAAGATTCACAAAACCAGCACATGAATAATGGACCCAGTCACTAAGTGTTGAATTGAATGTCTTCAGCTGCTGTTCCCAAGTTGGGTGAATCTCAGTGCTGAGGGTTTGCAGCTCTCAGCCACCTGCACAAGTAAATAAACTGGCTCTTCCTCACCGACTGCTGCCAGCTGGGAAGAGGCCTTCCTTTGCCTGTTATTCCAGCCAATAAAGCATTCCCCCAGCAAGCCCACAAAAAGCAGACTTGGTTCCAGTCTGTCACTTCTCAAAAACTTCCTGTCTTTCCAGATAATGTCTGTTGCCTCTCTGTGGAAATGAGAAGTGAGCTCTCAGTTTCTTCTACTGAATCTTTTTTTGAGGATGAAAATGGTTGGTGGCCTTAGAGTTGGAACAAACATCTCCGTATTCCCGGAACTGCCCTCACTCGAGCATCCTCCTGCTCTCTCTGGCCAAATCACCTGGGGTGGAATCGCTTCAGCAGGAGGGATGAAGCACCTTCCAGCACTGAGGCGGTTCCTCCAAGGAGGTTTGGATGCCCCTGGGTATGAGGAGAGTTTTGAGGATTTAGCTAAATGCTTGCAGTAGCAGCAAGGTAGTATTTAGGCTCTTGCGTCCTTTTATGGCTCTGGGCTTTCATTTCTTCTCAGTCTCAATTTCCAGTGCCTTTCATGATGCATCAGCCTTCACCACTTAAAATGCTGAAAGTACTGAAACCCTGGATTAAACAGTTTGAGAAGAATTGGTTTGGGCTTTCCTCCTCTGCAGGGCAGTTTGGGAGAACATCTGGGATTGTGAATAATCCCATCCAATTAAAAAAATCCTGCTGAAATGCCTTAGTTTTGCAATAATATTTTGTTGTTACTTTTGAATTTGAATACCTACTGAGGAGTTCTGAGATATCACGTAAAGTATATAAATGTGGTTAACCTTACAAAAGTAGGCAGTCAAATTTCTTTAGCCATGAGAGCTAAATTGCTTTTAATGAAGGTGTATGCAACAAGGTGTGTTTTTTGGGACATAAAGTCTGGATTAAGTCCTGAGGACATCCAGTGCTCTTTCAGTGATACTTAAACCACTATGGGTATGTTGTTGTAGAGGGTTTTTTCAGCCTTTTTTGATTAATAGATCCGTGTGTCTTCTGTGTTGCTCATATGGATCCATATGTAGGTGAGTAACAGCCTCTGGAAAACAGGTTTGCCTTCACATGCCTTACAGGTTGCCTGAGATCCCCCTGGGCCTAAGGGCCACAGCCTGCAACCCACTGTATGTTGCAGAAAGGTGAAAGGACGCGAAATTACTTACCAGCCACCAGCTTTCTCCTTCGCTTATAAATTCTTTGAGTCCAGGTACTAAGAGGTTTTTCTGATCTTAATCTTGGTGTCATCGCTTTTTATTTTTTGGCAGATAGCAGTAGAGGAAAAAGGGATTTCCCAATATTGTCCGTAATACTCGATGAGAAAATTTGTAGTACTCGAAGATGGGGCAGGAAGCACAGCTTCTTCGAGCAATTTAGTGTGTGCTTATTTGCATAATGCCATGTTGCTTCATTATCTCTGCCTATTCCTGCAAGGCTGAGCTGTCACCTCATGTCCTGGTATCAGAGCCCTTCTTACCGTCTGGTAAAATTTGTCAGCAAAGAGCCCCTTCACCCTCTGATGCAAATGGAAGTTTTGCTGTGCCCTCACTGACCAATTTTTAGCATAGCCTGAAGCAAAATTGTTCCGTTACCCTGATGCACACAAATGTGTGATTAAGAAAACAAACCCAACAGTAATTTTCATTTGAAGTGACCTAAATTAATGTCCTGATTCCAGCAGTTATTTAAACCTTTTCAGACAGGAGCTGTGGAGCTGCGGTTAACTCTTTGGGGTGCAGTCAGTTCTTTGGCTTTGCTCTGCACCGAAACCTGGTGGGAAAGTGTTAATGACATAGCAGTTACCACACCAAAAGCAAAAGCTGGAGAGAGGACAGTGGATGGTAGCTAAGCAGAAAACTCCAGTTTCATAGAAATCTAAGTTTTGTCTTGCTTTTTGATCTGAGCTTAATATTGTGCTGAAGAAGAGCATCTGAGTTCCATGTTAAAAATGTGAATGAACTTCCTAAATACTCTGATATTTACTATGATTCACCTGTGTCAGATGTGAGCTGACCTTGTGAGGTTTCTGTTTCTCAGGCTGTGTTCTGGAGCAGCTCATGGAATAACTGAGCCTTGCCTAGCAGATCTGAACTCGGTGTGCGGAGTGTGCCACCTGTGAGAAGAGTCCTGAGAAACTCTGAAGGATGTCACTTGGTGGTACTGCAGCATCTTGTTAGGGTGGTACTGCAGAAGATTCACCTGGAGACTGGCAGTCCTTTGGAAAGGCAAGCATGGCCTGATAGTGTTTACACACCTTTTGTTGGATTATTTCTTTCTTTCATGGAGCAAGATTAAAAGTGTAAGAGCAAAAGTGCTCACTTGCTGGTATGAGCTTGCTCTTTGGAGGGAGAGTTTGGTGGTTCAGTCATGACAGCAAATCCTCCTTGGTGCAGACAGTTCTCCAACGGAGGGGAAAAGGACAACTAAAGCTTCCCACTCCCTGCTTTCTTCAGAGGTCTTGATAAGGTCTTGTGGTAAAGCACATGTCAGCTTTGTAAATGGGACTGTTTTACATTTATGCCAGTTTACCTCTCCTGAGGTAACTAAAGCAGTGACCTGTGTAGGTTTCAAGTGTGGCTCAAAGCTTTTCCTTTTAACTGTATTTATCTGATATACACACATACTGTATGTGTCTCTGTGTATGTGTGTATATATATATATACATGTGTGTGTTTATATATACTAAAAAATATTTTTTTGCTCAAGGTGGCTTTGTTTAGTACTGTTATATGCTGGAGTGTCTCCAAAGTACCTACTTAAAGACTTGAAGTAGAATGGGAATGGCTGACAGGACCCAGAAAGCCTGTGCTTCTGGATTTCTTCCTTCATAGGTCCCTTTCTAGTCGCTTGGTTGGTGTGACACACACCTACAGGAATATGTGAATGTACCCTTTTTTGGAAAGCTGGGTGCCCAGCTCTTGCCCCAAGGTCTCAGTGGTGGTGTAACTTCATTCAGGCCACGATAGTCTACTGTTAGATGCCAATCGCCATCAGACTTCCACACTGGCCATATCAGGCTGTTAAAGGGTGAGCGAGTCTTCTTGATCACTCCTTGGGTCTCCAGCTGACGGATCAGGTTCTGATGGGAATCGGATTATAGTTAGTGCGATACTGTCGACGATGCACCGTGGAAGTAGCAAGTGGTACCTGCTGTTCTTTAACCTTCAGCAATCCCACAACAGAAGCGTCATCTGAGAGGCTAGGTAAAGTAGACAGCTGTGTAATACCCTCAGTGTCTACAGCTGCTATACCAAAAGCCCACCGATACCCTTTTGGGTCTTTGAAATACCCTCTCTTGAGGCAGTCTATG